TGTCCATTACGAGCACTATTTGAGCCAAAGATGTCATTCCAAGAAGCGATGAGAGAAAGTGACTGAACTGTGGATGACTTGAGCAGATAGTGGTCAACGGGTAAATGGTTTTTAGACAGAGTTATTAGCGTTGATATTATTATAACAAACGAAATAAAGCTGAGAATTGAACTAAATATAGAAAATAATTAAATTAATTAATTGAAATTCAATTAAATAATAATTAATGTCAAATCATATACATTGTTGAGATTTGGTATATATTCCACACTTCGTGATCATTTGCTGTCTCACATCTCAATACTCTTGCCTTAAACTCCAGATTCTTTGCAACTAAAAACAAGTAAAACAAATAAAATTTTATAATTAAATTTTAAATATCTAAAATATCGTATTTGTTTTAATTTTATAAATTTTAATTATAATATTAATGTAAAAATATGAAACTTTACTTAAAGTGGAAACTTTTTGAATGTCTTCTCGAGTACAGGTCGAGGGGACACAAAAATCCATACGAAATGTAATGAAGTGAAAAAATAGAGCCAAATCTGCGAAATCATTGTATACCTGATAAAGTAAATTAATGTCACTAATTTGCCATCATTTCAATCTTATATCAAACCGTGTCATCCGATTCTCTCACAAGTCCTTTGATCTTAGAGCTCATGCCATAAAACGGCGGTTTCTTCGGCAGCCATGGCTTGAATTCTGCGACACAGAACTGTCCCCTAAAGAACTCTTTGTATGTTTCCCTTCCCTCGTCATCGATATCACTGTCGTCGTCGTCAGCGACTCTTACTTTCAGACATTCTTCAAAGTTGCCAAACATTGTCACAACTCCTTCAAAGATACCGGAGGGGGGTTTTCCCGTCGCGTCCAACACTTCATTTGCAATTAAAATTATAATTAAACAATAATTTAAACATTTAACAATATTTGGTCTAAATTATAGAATTTAATATTTCTACTCTAATAATTAGAGTAGAAATATTAAATTCTATAATTTAGACCAAATAATTATTATTATATTATAATAGTTTTTCTTAAAATAACAATATTTGTGTTGAATTTCTAAAAATAGACAATATTTTTTGTTATAGTATATTTTGTTTATAAGGTTGCTTTGCCTTAATTGTTAATTTTAGTCACATTTACATAATCCTAGTTTTAATACTAAATTTTAAAACCAAATTATCAATAATTAATTCTATTCTGATTTTAAATCAAATAATGAATACTAAAGCCAATAAAAATTTTATTATACCTTAGGTAGCTCATATAATATTATATAAATATTTGATATTTATTTTTATATCTATTTTGAATAATTTTTTAACAACTAACTGGAAAATAATTTTTTAATATTGTTAATATTTTTAATGCATTTAAATTTACTTTTTCATAAGTTTGTTTAACAACTTTTCATTTACTTTACATCGGTTTCCAGCGAAATATATTATGATTTTAAAAAATCAATATGTCTATTGACTTAAGTGTTGAAAAATACATTTCTGAGAGTTTTTACAATGAAATTTGTAATATTTTGTTATATGAAATTTATAATTTTTGACATAAAACGACTCATTATTAAAATATTATTTACAAAGTGCTTAAAATTAGAAGTAAATACACATTACAAACAAACACACACTTTGTCTTCACCTTTAAATTATAAATAATTAATTGAATATTGTTTTAAATGAAGTGTATTCTCAATATTCATCTCAATTCTTCAAAAAATTCTCTATTATTTTAAGGGAAAGCTATTGTAATGTAAAAGAAAGAAAGGGTTGACCTTCTATTGTATTGACTTTTAATTGTCAATTATATATTCAATTGATTTGTGTCCTCATTTCGATTATGATTATTTTGCTGATAAACACAAATATTTAATATATCGATAGATTCTATGAAAATATTATTGTTTTAAAATATTTTCAAAACCACTTCTAACAGTTTTGAATACACACTAGACTTAATGCAAAAGAAATAATTCGCTTCACCAATAGATGTAAAATTAAATTCAAATTTGAATATATCAATTAATTTACAATTTATAAAAAATTTAAAGGAATATACTGTTTAAATAGAAATATTATATAATTTATTTCATATTGATCTCGTTATCTTAACGTTAAAATTAATTTTTTATTGAATTATTTTAGAAATACTGTATATTCAATAATATAGGTATTTAACAAAAACAACTAATCTATCAATTAATAAATTTTATGTCAAATATAAAAATAATAATACAATCGTTGCGGAAGTTCTTTAATATTTGTGCTGTAATACTACTGTTTATTGCCTAACAGTTAATCAATAAATTTAGTTATAGATAAAAGTTTATATAATTTGTAACCATTAGTTTAGTAGATTATAATAAAATTTCACTTTTGAAAAATCATCTCAAAGTACGGAAGAAACTATTTAAACAAATAAAAGCCATTGTATTAATGCATAACATTTCTATGACATCAAATGAAGAACTCAAAAATGTGTTTTAGTTGCCATCGATTTGAATGGACATACAGTCGACCCCAATAAGGGTTGAACTTCTTGTATGAAAAAATGTGATGCTTTCACAACAGATCTTAATTGATAACAAAATCTCTAATTTTATCCTTTTCTTAATTATTTATTCCTAACGTATATTTAATATCAGTATATAATTATCTTCAATGCATTATTTTATAAAGTCTTGAATTATATAATTTGATATCATTTTTTAAAGTGATAAAAAATTACAGAAAAATTGCATAAATTTGTAAAACGTAAATATTTTTAAAAATATTTGTATATTTTGTTATATTAATAAATAGGTTGTAAACGTAATGTGAAATTCATAAGGAGTCAAGTTTGAAAGCGTTTTAATTTGAGATTAGATAACGACTTACTCTTAACGGCCCAACTCTTGAGATGCCTTAAGCTTACGATCCATTTCAGTATTCCTGCCGAACAATTGCCGCTCACTTTAGCGTCAGAAGACATGGACACGATCTTCGGGAATATCGACCGCAATAGTGTCCGCACACCTGAGTGTTCAAAATTGATAACATTTAAAATATACATTTAAAAGACAGATTAAAGTCAATTGTAAGTATTACCAGATTTTAGATTAGTTTCCATTGAATTCCACTTATTTTGCACCTCTTCTTCTGTTAAATATCTATCAAAGGTTTCGTTGATTTCATCCCATGATATGTTTGAGCTCTTATTCGATGAGTTGATTGAATCGGTTGTAATTGGATTCATAAAAAGGATTGAATCGCTTTCATTTAGCTCTGTTTGTCGTCGAAAACGACTTGTAATAGATTTACTATTAATTTCATTTTGACTTTCAATCAAAGATTCACAAAATACGAGTAATTGAATGACAATTAAAGCCCAAAATGAAAATCTTAAAAATGATGCCATTTTCTGGAAATCACCACTTTTTGAATTTCATTAATTATTTTTATTAATTTCACTAATTCTTGACTATAGGAGCAAACAAAACATTTTTTTGTCGCATTGAAACTTTTTTGACCGTAGAGTTTATTTAACTCAAAATAGATTTATTAAACTTTTCTTTAATACAATTCTTTGATTTTCACTTCACGAGTGAGAAAATGAGATTAAATATCATTTTATTTTTAGCGTCAATACATTAGTTGTGTTACACTTCAGGAAAATCACAAAATCATCAAAAACTTTATTTCCAATAAATAAAAGGGAGCGCAAAGAATTTAAAAACTTTGATAAAATTTTTACAACAAAACTTTTTATATTTCTGTGTAAAATTCTTTGCTTTTGCACTACAATTGCATTAGTTTTACATGAATTGTAAAATAAAACAAATTTACAAAAAAAAAGTACAAAAATTCAATTCATTTTTAGTTTTTGGGCTCTTTTTGTGTGGAAACAGAGATTTGAATGAATAGTTTGATGCGAGTTATTAAGTCATAGACCCGATGGCCGAATATAACTGAATCCCTAATAGAAGAGGCACTAAATTTAGGACAAAAACTTTAAGACTGGAGCAACAACTGTACCAATACTTGAAGGCATACACATAACTGTTAACTAATGTATTGGATATAACGCTAAATACTGTTCGCAACTCACTGTTGGTTAAAGAATGTGTTCCTATTAATGAAACACAACTTTTAAAGTCAAGATCTTTAAAGCGAGTCAAACAGGTTTCACGTTTTGCTATTAATATATTATGAAACAAACAACCAATTTAATTTCATCTCCCTCATTCTCTCTCTCTCTCTCTCTCTCTCTCTCTCTCTCTAACCAGATGTTTGAACATCGAGTTTGGAGATCAAGTCCGCGCAGACATTGATCTCATCGGTGACCACAGCTTCACTCTCGGTCTCATCGGTTCCCCAATCGTCCACTGTTTTAATACAATAATTTCTCGTCTATAAGGGCACCACTTATAAAATTATTCTGAACAACTTGTAGACCACCTCTATTTCAAAGTCCCAATAATATTTGAATAAATTTTATTCCAGGATTTATCGATGAATAGTTAAATACAACACTCCTTGTATTTAATCCTCATAATTGATTCAGGATTGCATTCAAAATATTTTTGTTGATATAAATTCTCAAACCCATATTAATATCTTATGTCCAATGGCTATGATCTGGAAATTATGGTATATTAGGCATTAATTCTTGAATAACCTGACCATCGGATGGAAATCAATAATTGAATGTTGTTTTCCTGATTGTTGTTCAAACCATTTGGAGACAGAGTTCAGACGAATTACAATAAATATTAGCTTTTATGTCATGTTATTCACAATTTTAGGTTAAATATCAACAAACGCTATAAAAAATATAATTAAATTTATTTAAATTAATTGAAATTTTTAAATGTGATTAATACAGTAATAATAATAATAATAATAATAATGAGAATTACAACACGAAGCGATTTTAAGATTGATTTTATTATACAATATATTAATGGTTTGAAAATGATTTTAGAGTTAAATTAAAGATTCATTTATTTGTCGAAAACGGTGTTTATATTATCGGCCGTAATGTCACCAAAATCTGAACTCATGTCGTGAAGTGGCGATTCACTGGTGGAGACCGTGTCTTCGGAGGATTCGTCGTGTATCTCATCTCTCTGGTGCCCATCAGTGGACTGCTGTCCAGCGTTCGTGATGTTTGTCTTTTTGATGAATTCCATGAATTCCGCCTGAGATATAGTACCGCCCTTTCGGTCACAATAGAAATGCATTCAATTAGTAAACATTAAAAGTATATTACAATCAATTTTGGCATTACTTTTAAACTATTGATAATTCCGGCCAACGGTTCGCTCGTGGCGTCGATTTCGATGATTCGTTGATTCAAATCGGGAATACTTTCGCTCATCTCTTGTAGAGTTTTGGGCGACGCTTGCAATCGCTTTGTTATGATCTTTGAATTGTCGCTGAGTGTGAATGTCTGGCTCTGGACGTTAGGGTTGGGTCCGATGTCGACCACAGTCTTCTTGTGCTGTCCAAAGACGGGTGATTTGATCTGAGTTTTGGCGATATTAGCCTTCGATAGTGTGATGGCGTTCATTGGGATAGTTTGTATGGGTTTAGCCATTTGTCCCACTTTCTGTTGCATTATAATGAGGTTCGGTGTCTGCACTTTCTGCACATTCTTCAGGTTACCGGCGCTGCTCTGGTATATCAGTGTCGGCGCACTCGTCGTCACTGACGGCGACGAAGACGACGATGGGATGGAAATCGCTTTTACAGTTTGACTGATGGGAACCGATACTGATTGTCGCGAATTGAATGGAAACACAACGACCTGTTGCTGACCATTGCTTTTAGTGAACACTTGTGTTCCGCCCACTAATGGGATTCGTGTCACGTTTGTGGCCAATGAGACGTTTGATGTGTTTATTGTCGCCTTATTTGTTATATTTTTGGTCTGTTTTTGTTGTCCGGGAACTCCTATGAGACCCACAATGGATGTGTTGACAGTGGGAGGTCTGCCCGGTCTTTGTCTTACATTCCGAGTGCTCGGGATATCAATTGTGGTCTTTTGAGGCGAACCTATCGTATGTCTTTGGATGAGAGGGATTGCCGTCACGTTTTTGTTGGAAGTGGTGATAACATTGGATGGAGTGGTCGTCGGAGTGGACACAAAGATAACACGAGTTCCCGAATGACCGACTTGTGAAGCCATTGTTGTGGACACTGTATAGCAATTGCTTGCATTGACGACAGTCCTCGAGGAAGTGGCGCCCATTTTAGACAATGTGTGAGCGTTTCGATGGTTTTGTTGAGGGTTTGATGCGTTCTGGAGTACAAGTGGTTCAGACTTTATGGGAACAAATGTGGGCTGACTTTGGCTGTCAATGCGTCTCCGCTTAGGTGTAGTGCCGTCGCTGTCGTCCAACCCGTGGTTTGTCTCCATTTGTTGCGTTTGTTTGATAGCCGTCTCCGACGGGCTTAACATCGACTGATTTCGGGTCAGTTGAACGTTGGCCACAGAGTTAGCCAAACCTGTGAACGCCGTCTGCGGCACCAGTCGTGGCAACAATGGTATGAGTCTTCGGCCTTCGATCGCCCATTCGGTGCAAGTGTTGGCTCCCGTCATGTGGTGTGCGATTGTGTTGAGCCTCTCGTCGTTGACGGCTCTCCTGACCTCCGCTCGATGTCTCTCAAGGCTTATACTAAATGGTCGGACAATCAATCATTAAACACACCATTCAATGGTCACATCCAGTGATGGCATACCTCAACATTGAGCACAAGTCCTGAAGTATCTTTCGTTTGTCTTTATTGAGGTCTCCCTGAGCTCTGAGAGCCGTAACCACCGATGA